CCTGTTTTGCTTTTATATATTGCATTCCAAGTGACATGCAACACAGGTGCAAGAGAAGAGATAAGACTTAACTGAGGGTGTGAAACTGATAAAACTGTTTATATTGTTGGGTATTCAACGTAATATTTAAGCATTTTTGGCCCCATGCTGAATATCGGTTGATGCTGGGTGTATGTAAACAACAGTTGTACCGCAATACTTCCAAAAATGTGAGTTATTATCAAACAAGGTGGGTGTTCTACCATGGCGCGGATGGGTATGCACTTCTTCATTACTCATCCATACCAACACGTCATCATCCAGGTCATTGATTCATTGCGTACAGTAATTAGCTTTAGAGGTCCTAAACTAAAATCGCAGGTAATTAAATACAATCAGTGTAATGAAAGGGCCTGTATTGTTGCCAGTAATGCGGTATAAACCTGCACAGTTTACCCGATCTCCAGCTGTCGTTTTCTGGCAGTGTTTATTTCTCTGTATCTCTCTCCCTCCCTCTGCAGCCGTCTCTCAATGTACAGACAGGGCTGTGCATTGAGCACCAGCTTTAGATTACAAAGCACAGATCTGCCTGGGTACACATGGCAGTAAGCTGTCAAACAAGACGTGGATTTCTCCCAGGCACAATGGGTTTGTTAAGCCAACGCTTAGGCAAACAGATGGAGAAGAAAGGACAGCCAAGGTGGAAGGTATAACAGGAGAACAGTCACTGGGGGTACAGCGATACCGCTAGTTCACTACCTGTGCCAAATGCGACAGTCAATACAAGTCATTACTTTGAAAACAAACTGCAGACTTACTTTTTGTTACCTCGATTTTCTGTAAGGAAAATGAAATCCTATGGATCTCCCATTTAATGTGCTGCTCGTGGAATGTTAGTCATGGTAGCGACATGGCTTTAGACATGGCAATGGCAGCTTGTCAGTCCATCACTTTAGTGCAGACTGACATATCTCAGCAACTACTGGATCATGAAATTCTGTACAGACATTCATTGTCCCCAGAGGAAGAAGCCTAATGACAATAATGATGATCTATTGACTCAACTAGTGTCACCAAAAGGTCAAAATATTTCATCTCTCCACTGAAATATCTTTACACCTACTCAATTAATTGAGACAAAATGTTGTACAGACATTCATGGTCCCCAGGGGATGCAGCCTAATGACTTTGATGGTCTATTGACTCAACTAGTGCCACCAAAAGGTCAAAAGGTTCATTTATCCACTGAAATATATTAACACCTACAGAACAAATTGTGACAAAATTTTGTACAGACAGTCATAGTCCCCTGCTGATATATCCCTGTGACTTTGGTAATGCCTTGACTTTTCCTCTAGCACCAACATGAGGTGAACACATTGTTTTTAGTGAAAGGTATCCACAACAAATGGATGGATTGCCATCAAAATTTGTTCAGACATTGATGTTCCTCTAAGGATGATTTGCCATCACTTTGATCTGACTTTTTGCCTAGTGCCTTGATCAGGTCACCAAACACCTGCAAATCTAATGGAATTTGGAAAGTGGATTTTACTATGGAATTTTTTGTCAAAGAGGAAATCCCGTGATGTTGATACCCTATTTCAGCCTGATTTTAAAACAAGTGAATAAGTGAATCCATCACTGTAAAACGTTGGATATGTATTCAGCTCTGCCATCAGGAAAAACAAATATCTAAACCCTCCCCCTCTGGCCAAGAGAGATATACAGGGCCTGAGGAAGTACTCCTCGCTAAGCATAGTGATTTGCAGGAACAGTGAGACGCTCTCTAAAGCATATTCCATGATTTATTCAAGATTTTCCTCCAAGATGGGAACATGCATTTACTCTAGATTTGCTCTAGACTCAGAGGCCATGCCATCATATTGATTGGATTTTGTGTGTCTGTGAGAGTGAGTCTTTGTGTGTATACAAATAACATTCCTGGCTAGGGATACCCTGTCCTGTGTTCTACTCAGCACATCTGACTGATAGATGCTCTGATTCAACCAAATCCACTTAAATGTCAAGCAGTAGCATCCACTAATGTTGCCTAAGCCGAAACATCAAGACCAGAGTGACGTTTTCCCGCTCATAACAATTCCTCTTGGCATTTATGGCACTTGTGTCAGTTTGATATTAAGGAAAATATATTGGGCAAAAATGGAAAACACAGGCTGAGGAATACCTGTCAAATTTGAGTCACGCTGCATGATTTTCTGCTACCAGCTGAGATTAACTTTTTCTGCCTTCTCAGAGCCGCAGTGGACTCACTGATTCTCTTGGCTTCTAAATGTTACTTTAGAAAAATGTTAAAATATGTACCAACTAACATGTCTCCTTCCATCTATCATATTTCTTCTAATATCCCAGCTTGATTTTTTTGTATCCTGCTCCTGCCTTATTTTCTTCATTTGCTGTATTTCTGCTGTAACAGGCAGTGAATCTGTGACCATGAACAAATTAACAAACAACCAAAAAAACTCAGCCAGCTCTAGAACAAATATCTCACGGACATTTCACCTGTTAGTGTCAGACTGCTCAGACAAATCTAAGGTAAACACACACACACACACACACACACACACACACACACACAAACACACACACACACACACACACACACACACACACACACACAGAGAGAGAGAGAGAGAGAAAGTGGTGCACAGAAAAGGAAGTTTGGAATGTTTGAGCAGCCCATGATGTAAATCATCAACATGTAAAACCAGAAATAGAAATAGAGCATTTCATGTTTGGGTAGTCGCAAAGACATTAAGGAAAATTCCAGTCACCAACACCCCTGTCTTCACTATAGTAACTGATTAACTACACTGCACTGACCGCTAATGATAACCACACACTGCTCAAGGACTACAAGTGTAAAAAAGTAAACATGTTTAGCAGTTTTAGTTTGCTTAAGCACAAGTCGTCTGATGTACTCAGAAATGAATATGACGCCATAAACAGCAGTGTTTAATGTTGAACTTACTGCATATTTATTACTGACAAGGACTCCTTGATTCCTAACTCCCAAGTAAACTGACCTGGTCTTGTCGCAAAGATCACTGCGGGGGGGGGGGGGGGGGTGGATGATATAACTGCTATGAACATTGACTCAATAAATGAAAGTCTTTATGGCAGGTTATTATGGAGCGCTTGATACCACTTTGAGGAAGGTCAATGGCCAGGTTTAAACTGAAGTGTGCAGTGCCAGCTGTAATCACTCCACTCGATGTGGTACAGTAATTGCAGACCAGGGAACTCATCTAGATGAACAAACATTAGCCTCGGGAGGTTATAAGGACGTCTGGATTAAGTGGTGAAGTTGTCTGATGCAAAGGATGGAAAGGACCAAAAATTTGGAGCACTGCTTGACAACCACAGTGATAGTGAAGAGAACCTATAGAGACACAAACTTGGCTATTCGTAAACACATCACTTTCCACCGCAGGAACTTCCCTTAGGGGAACAGGAAACTTTTGAGGAACTCAGTTCTCCTACCTGCATCTCCACCAGAGGAATCAGAGAGATTCTAGGGAGACCTCACAAATGTCCCTGCTCGGGAGGTAGTACTTTCTGAATGTTCAGGAACGTTAGCGGTGAGGGGTGTTGAGCTCAATGTCACTGATTGGTCGTTGCTATACACCCGCCATTTTTTAAAACCTGCAACTACAAACACACTGTCCTGCTTGTAGTTCATATAGCCAACAATAATAAGGATGGAGCAGCTCAAGAAATGTTGTAACCGTTTCCTCCTCCTAGATATGTCAGCAGACTCATTTGCTTAATCTTCCAAGTGTTTTCACTGTGAAACTTGAGCTTTCCCCTGGGGAAGCTCCTGGACATAAGTTATTGGTGGAAAAGCAGCTTTTAAGTTATTACCTAGCTGGTTTCAGACTAGAAATTTACTATTTAATAGGTTTGAACCATTAAAATGTAACAAATATCTTCGATTTTTAAATGTAAACTGGTTGCTATCATCACCTATGTAAATAGAACATCACAACTTGGAGCATTAGAGTTTAAGGTGGCCATGTGATATATTATTATTTGTACAGTCCTCGTTCAAATGTATGTATGAAGCTGTTCTTAGGTCAGATGTGTCTACCATATTTCATATTACCTCTTTCAGTCTTGAATCATTATATATCAGCAAGCTAATCTTATCTTAGTTAGAGAGAGAGAGTGAGAATACACTTGGCAATAACAACTAATCTGTATGCAATAACTAGTTGAATTGAAATCCATTTTAATTCAGCAATGCATAAATCTCAAACTTATGTAATATAACTAGGCTAAGTTTGAACTTCTTGGTAAACAGTATGAATGAATGTGTGTAGTACAGAGACCCTCACATTTGTCCTTCTAACTTGAGTTGTAGAATTCCATACCCTGTGTTTTATGTAAATTCTGCCTCCTTTTGCCTTATCAAACTCTGCGGGATAAAAACTCGAAACTTAGTGACCCAGCTGAATTCAAGACTGTTTTTAATTAGTTTCTAAAAAGATCACATTTTTAGAGATTTTTCAAAGAGCTCACTGGGGCAGAAAACAGCTTTCATGAGCGAGTTTAATGAAAGAATGAATGAACTCCTTCCTCAGGGACACATTAAATAACAGTCAACCCCAGGTAGTGGTTGCTTGTAAGAAAGGGTGCCTCCTAATTATCTCTGACTGAGAGCCCACCTATGTGACCTGCTCTTGTCAGTGCACAGACCCAGACTCCGGGAGCTACATGACCCGACTGTTGCTCCCTCAACATGTGCATGATCCTGATAAGGAGAGCAGAGGGAGAACACTGCTGCTTCTGGGTGACAATAGTTACACTTACAGAGGGAAAATGATTTACTGTCATAAGAGGAACAGGTTTAACATTTTGACCTTTTGTGATTATTTCTTTAATATGTTTCTTGTAAATATGTTATATCATACTTTTAATTGATTTACTTGACGTAACCTACATTTCTTAAGTTTAAACACATGACCCAAAAGCATCTGCCTAACTCATTCACTCCTTACCTGTTTCAGATTCACTGCTGATGCCTGAGCTTCGTTGTCTGCTCCTCTCAATTTCCTTCCAAGCCAAAACACTGCGATTGAGAACAACTTCAAACTGTCTGTGCCTCTGGAAAAGCTTCGAAGACAGTAATCTGGGCTGTTTTTCCATCATTTCGCTCAGACGTGTCATTAGTTAACGCTGCCGTCAGACGATCCTCATCTCAACTTCGTCGCGGCCCGCACAGCAAAACGCGTTTGAGCGTGTGTGGTGTGTTGAGTCAGTGTGTCCGTCGGCCCAGGCTGTCAGGAGAGTAGCGAGGACTTCAGACAAAGATCGTGTATGAGCAAGATGATTCACTCAGGAGTAAGAATGTAACTGGCCTACTTTCCATTCTGTAATTTTGTACAACAAAAACATGGATCTATAATAGTCTATAATTTTTCTATTTATGTTGTGCATGAAAGGCATTAATATGAAATAAAAACTGATTTTTAATTGAATAAATTCTTGCAGTTTATATCACATTGGCTATAAAATCTTGATACTTTTATTTCCTGGAAAATAAAAACAGTTGTCATAACTGTGTTAAAGCAAAATCTAATCAATAATGGTATGGGAATACAATAAAAATTATATTTTCATTCAGAATGTACAGACAGGGTGTAATTTTCCATATCAAAGAAGAACCACACATCTTCGAGGGTTTCATTTCTATTTTTTTTTTTTTTTTTTAAATCTAGCATTATATTGCCTGAGTCTGTTTTGGAATTGAATGATGCCCCTGATGTCCCTTAACATTCAGTCCTAGAACTTGCATAGCATGTAAGCCTAAATTAAAATAAAATAAAATAATATAAAATAAAATAAAATGAAATAAGCCCCAGGTATTTCAACAAAAAAACCTTTTACAACATTTGCAAATTTTCCATTAATACCAATAACACCTGACAGCAGACATGAAGTTTGCCGTATCAGAAAAAAATGACAGAGTGGTAGCTCTTACCTTTTTTCCCCCTGGCTACTTCAATCCTGTGGAACAACACTGCATCAGCACTTTGCATAAACACATACCCTCTCAAATTTATTACTTTATTTATTAGTTTAGGCGCCTCCCTGGTTCCAGACTGAAGAGTTGAATAATAACCTTAACCTGACGTATCCCTCAGACAGTGATCATTATGAGACAAAGACCAACATCAACAAAAAATGATGACTAAACTGTGTTTACCTGCTTTGCCCTCTGCTTTTAGCTCATAAGCTGAAAAGAAACTGAGCTGAATTCAAGATGATGGAAATATTGTAATAATAAAAACCTTTTATGTTAACACCCATCTCTCCATCTGCAGTGGTTGTCTTAGTTTTTTTTTTTCTCAAGCTGTGCGCAAGCTTTAACTGCAGGGAATAAGAGACAGTTAAGGAAATTAAAAAGGATTTTGTCAAAGCTATGTCTTACGCTGTAAGGGTGAAACATTTATATAATATTTCTTTATGTCTCTGCTACAGCTTCGGTTGTTGTGCAGTGTTGCATTCTTGGTATATTTAATGATCTCTCCTGCCACTTCTCACCCCACTATAGTGAGTGTGAATTGATGAATTGCCTTGTTGATAACATAGCAATTAAAACTTGTCATTCATTAATCATCATGGCATCCATCAATACAAAAAATGTATTTTCAGAAAAACATTATCTTATATTCTATAAACGTCCCATCTTTTCAAAGTTGTATCTGAATAATAATGTATGAATACCATATAAACAATTCTAAACAACAGTAAAGCTTACTGGAGAATAAATACATTTGTTTAGAGGTGCTGTAGCAATGGTAAATACTGGGAATGTTAAGTATTTTTCTCTCTGTGCCTGTGGTCCTGAAGCTGGTGGTCTCTCTTTTGATTGACACACAGTTTGTAGTTTCTGTCAACAAAGCAAAGACAGCGGGGCATGACGTCACTGCTCCTCAAGCCACCTAGCAGCAGATCTCACTTGTGATTGGCTCACGGTGAGGAAGTGTCGCTTCAGCCAATCACAGCCACGTTTGCTCACCCATTAGGCAGTATCAACATGGCAGCTTTCTGAGTTTTGGAGAAGGGGGACCTGGTGTAAATAAACACGAATTTCACGTTTTACAGATAACGACAGCGTTTGGGTGTTAGTGTTTAAGACTGGCTGGGGCCGCAGAGGGAAAATGTCGAGCGACGGAAACAGAAAACAGTTCTGGAAAAGAAACGCAGCCAAGGTTCCTGGCAGGTGAGTGACGTGTTCCCTCCTGTTGGCTAGCTTAGCGTAGCTAGCCTTACTGAACTGACGCTGCACTGTTGAGCTTCAAACGCAACTTTCACTGACTGCCCTGCTGTATTGTACAAAGTTTGCGAGTTTCTGTCCGCGTATTGTACCAATGTTTGCCGTAAATTAGTCTCGCAGGTAGTTTACACCTTGCTGCTGTTAGCTGGCTAAGAGCTACGTTGCTAACAGCGGCTAACAGTTAAGTAATTTACCCACACCGCACTCACAGAGTTGTAACTAAAGAAGCAGTAACCGTTTTATACTACGGAGTAGCTATTGTCTTACAACAAATTAATGTCATTTTTGTCACTCTTAGCATTATTACAGTTTTAACTGGTATTGTTTGGGATAACTCGAAGCTAACATGGCTAGCTTGACAGCCAGTTTTGAATGAGCTCATTCATTTACATCATCTCTTCCTCACTTCCTCAGCATTCAACATGTATATGGCGCACAACATCCACCTTTCGACCCGCTCCTTCATGCTAAGTAAGTGAAATATACTTCTTCTTTTTTGGTTAAAGTACCCCGTGATCTTGTTGGAGAATCTGAACAGTTGTTGGACTTTTACTTCCTTAAGTTTCTGTGTATTAACAATGTGTCTCAGTTTGGACAATTATAAAACATCCTTTAAAAACAGATTTGTCTAAATGTAAGTGTATTAAACTTTATCACCCCTAATCATGGAAGATCCCATCAGATAACATTTTGACAAGCAAGCAGGTTTATCTAGTGTGTACCAGTGTAAAGTGTTTCCTTTCTCTTCCTGGTTGAATGGGAGGTGGATCTCTTACTCAGGAGGTTAATGGTTCTTAGATGCTAAACAGTATGGGTGTTATAGATGATCTCATAAGCATAAGACAGAACTTCAGTCATGTACAATGACATTTGAATGAAGTTCCTATAGTTTTCTTCCATTTCTATTCACCATGAATGCCACTAGAGAGTGATGACTTTGCAGGAGATGAAAAACAATGCAAAAAAACAATGCAAAGATTTTTAAGGGTGTTACTCAGCCACTAACAGAGGACAGAAAGCTGTGGCATGCATTGATGGTGCAACTAGGAATGTGGACCTGTTTCTTTTGCCATTTGGAAGGTGACGAAGGCACAAACTGTGACATTACACACCTGGGTGTGGCTATAACTGTATCATGCTTGAATTAATAAAATGTCATATATTTAATATTACAGTATAACTCTGGCAACTTTTTTTTTGCACTGTTTGGTCCTTCCTGTTATGCCGTTTTAGAGGAACTGACCCTACCAGAAAATCTAGCTGCTAGATGGACAGGTGACCAGCTTAAAGGAACTTCAGCATAATTCAGTTTGTTGTTATTTCATCTTATTTGAAAAGTTTAAATGTTGGGTGAATGAATATATGATTTAATTCATTATTTAATAAGAAAAAGCCTGGAATTTACAATAAATACAATAAATATTTTATCTAAAGTGAAAAAAATAACAGAAAAACTGCTGTCTTGAAATGTTAAGTGTGTTGAAAACTTTTTTTAAAGCAGCATCATCATTCACTTCTGATTTCAAAATATTTCAGACTTTTTCAACTTCTTTTATAACAAGTTGTACCTATTTTGTTCCAGCCCCTCCCAAACACACACACACACACACACACACACACACACACACACACACACACACACACACACACACACACACACACACACACACACACACTCACTCACAGATAGAAAAACAGCCTTTTATTCAGTAATAATCCCTTTCTTTCTTCTGTCTGATGTTTAATCATGTAGATTTCCGCAGGGGGTTGAATTTAATTTGCTTGTTTTTTTTTGTCAGAGTATAAGTTCAGACTTTCTCTTTTCTTCTAATTTATGATGGAAGTGAGCTAATGTGGACAAGTCTCTCTCTTTATTATGGTAATCCTTGTCTTTGTAAGAAATCAGAGCACCTTCGTCTCTCTCCCCCTCTCCCCTCTCCCTCCTCCCTCCTCCCTTTTCCCTGTTACCGCATTGCATGATTAAACAGGAAAGGTTGAGTTTCATTGAATTCTCTCTTTCTGTTGCATTTCTTGTTCCTGCTGAATGAAAGGGTATCCGTGCAGTGCAAAGAAACTAACTGAGTGAAATTTTGTCTTCTGAACTTGGCCAGAGTCCATCCTTTTAGGTGTTTGCTGCTTTTGATTCAAGTAATATTTTCTAGCCCTTTATACACAGCCTGTTCAAGGTGAATGTTGCACCTTTATTCCGCTCTGCTGTTCTATATAAAAGATACAAACATGGATGGGTGGGGGCATTGTTGTTCCGTCAATAAGCTGGCAGTTGAGGAAGTCACACAGCCTGATCGACGGCCATGTAAAAGGGACAGCCGGGAAAAACGCTGATGCTGTGATGCCTCCGATCCTCGAACACTGGCATGAACTGGCATACTCACACACTGGGGTGGCATTATGCCAGTTTGGTTTGTTTCAGTGTAATCAAGCAAAGGCAACATAATGAGGGGTCTTCTTAATGGCAATATAGGGGGATCGCTGTTTAAAAGAGACTTGTGTGTGTAGGGATGGTGACTCACTTACCCGTGAGTGATGTGAATTACAAAAAAAAAAAAAAACTGTCAGTGTGTAAAATTTAAATATTTTACACCCTCTGTTCAGTTCAAATGTTAGTTCATTTATTAATTGGTCACCTCTTTTTTTCGAAGGGCTGGTGTTCTTTTATTTCCTTCCCTATCTGTCAGTGTCAAAATGATTCACTGTTCATTCCTGCCCATTTTTTTCTTATCCTCATTGTGCTTATTTACTTTATCTCCTTTCTCCCTTTGCCTTTCTGCTCACCTTGTCTGTTTTTTTCTCCATTCCCTTCTCCTTTTCTCTCAATTCTCTTAATCTCATCCTCTCTCCCTTATCTCCCCTGTCTTCATGGCTCTCTCTCGGTCCTCCAGTCTAATTAAAGCAGGCAACAAGCCTACTCCGGCGACGCCAGGCAAGCCCAAAAAGGCGACCACCTTCCAGGAGTTTGAGAGCATCACAAGTGACGCCTGGGATGTCGGGGATGATGATGATGAGCTGCTGGCCATGGCTGCACAAAATCTTAACATCGAGGTGGTTATGGAGACGGCCAATAAGGTGAACACATGCAGGGACTTGAAAAAGAATCCACAGTGCCTTTTCTGTCTATTTAAAGCATTACACCAACATTTGCAAAATAGTCAACTGAATAGGGCAAAACACCTTTTTTTGTTTTTTTTAAGACAATATAATAACTGAAAATGACAAGAAATCTCAGTCTTGTAATAATACAGTCACAGTTAATGCTCTTGGAAGGATGGAAATGAAAATCAGGGGACTGACAAAACCGTTTAATTTTCTGTCTGAATGCAGATCTGTGCATTTAATATGGGTGTATGCCAATTCATTTTTCCTTAAGTTTAGTTACACATATAGAAACTGGATGTTGTAGTGGTTATTATCCAGATATTTTTTATTGAACCAAAGAATCTACATATGATTTTGTTTATTTCCATTCATATGAAAAAATTATAAACAGAAATAAAACAAAACAAAGAAATTAATAGTCAGTTGAATTAACCTTAAAATTGAAAATTGACATAATTAAAATATATCTGTATGTTGTATACTAAATAAAAGAAACATAAAATCTTAGAATAGGAACATGCTTCAGATGAGGAAGTATAGGAACATTCATTTTCAGTTGTTGTGCTTTACAAAATTTATGTCAGTCTGAAAACATTATTTAATACTATATGTGGAGTTCAAAGGCTCATATCTTTTTTCTGTAAACTCTACAGGTGATTGAGAATCACAGCAAGCAGCAGGAGAGACAGAGGCTGGACGACACAACAGAGCTGGAACATAGAGAAGAGGACACACAGGAGGAGGTAGCGGAGGAGGAAGAGGAGGACGAGGAGGACGAAGAGGACAGGGTGGAGGAGGGAGACGTAACCAGCCCAGAGGTGTCGTTTGCCTCCCAAAGCAGCCCTTATACTGATGGCCGCCTGGTGAAGTCCCACAGCGAAGCTCCAATTGGGTCACCTAAAGGTTAGTGAACACCATTGCTCAGTGTCGAGAAAGTTTTCTGGCCCAGCTGCATACTAAAAGCTGGACTGCGTTTACTTGTAGTGCACCAGTGTCATGGAATATTCTGAAAAGACATCCTGAAACCTCTGTGTACCAGGAATACAGCCATCACCTATCACCCCATAGAGTACCTGCCTATAGCTTTTAACATTGTTTCATGATTTTATTTTTAATCTTCCTATAAACAAGGTGTTCATCCTGTATAAATAAGGGTTAATTGTTGACACAGGAAATGTCAGCATATTGACTTTTAATGGTTTTCTATTTTGAATCGAATAGAATAGATGAACATAGTCAGGATTTCAGGAAATAACTTTCTCACTTTTACAAGTTTGAAAACTAAAATTATTTTTCTCTGCATCATTGTTTTTGTGTATTCATTCACACTGGTCTCACAGCTGCTTATGTGTCACCAAATTCAAATAATATGAAGTTTCAGCAAAAACCATTCAGCTTCCAAACAGCAGAGAAATGAGCGAAAAATATTTGGCAGATGTTTTCACTCTGTAGAGCAGAGTTACTGATAGACTGCCAATGTTGTGCTTTGATTGGACTTGCTTGTGGTTTGGGCAGAGAGTACAGCATTGAAACTGTGTGAGAACATGCAAATACTCAAATCTTTATAATCAAAGCATTTTAGTTAAAAGATGGTGTTGAAGTGTTGAAACGTAAACCATGTCACAGTAGCACTGTGCTCCTTCTAAACACATAGAAGAGGCGCGGGGGTTGCAAAGAGATGGCTCTACTGTTGCATTGCAGGTTGTAACATCAGCAGCAGTAGCAGCAGACGCTGCTGTCCTGTCTGGCAGGTCATCTGCCTGTCTGCCTGGGTGTCTGCTGATCTGCCAGTTACTGTGTTTGGATACAGATAACATAAGGAGCCTGTTGCCTTCAAGCAGTTCTTCTTATCTCCTCAGAGAAGGTGCAGTACAGGCCTGCATGCACTGTCACGTCTTGTATGGATACAGGGAGATGCAAGACGACACATCTCTGCACCTTTAGCGATCATGTCATCAGCAAAAACAGACGCAAACCTTTAATACATGCACACTCAATGTACTTGGCAGGGGGGTTAACCAAGTGACATGCACAGTTGTAGTAAGGCAGACTGCTTTGTTTGCTGGTGTTTTATTATATTGTATATATTCTCTATATCTCTTCTCTTGTTCTTTTGTCTTCTCTTGACAATAAAGAAAAGAAAGAATAGAGTGAGCACACTTGCCCCAGTCTAATTAGATAATGTACACAGCATGGCTTTCATTAGTGATGCTCAGACTCTCTCCATATATCTCTCATAGACTTGGCACTCATCGTCCTGCCACACGTTAGTGGTCAATGGGGATCTGTGCAGCCTCTGTTATTCCTGACAAAAATATACACTATGCTACTGTGTAATTGTCTGTAATATGGGTTCAGGGGATGTGCTCTCTGTTTATGTTTGTGCTCTTGCATGCATGTATTTTTCCTCCCTTATTTGTAATAATTGAAGCATTATACTGTGATAGACAAGTGGACATAACCAACTTCCTCTAACTTGGCTTTTTTCTTTTACAGCCCCTTAAACATTAAAGTTATTAAATAGACTATAAAAGGGGCTCATTGTTACAGTCACAAAAAAGGTTTCACTACAAAGAAACTGCCGCCGGCTTTAATAATCTTTTTTAATTTTTGAAAGTGCAAATAAAGTGGTTGAGAACAGATTTGTAGCTTTTTATTTGTTCCTGTAAAAACTGGAAAGCGTATTAAAATCGGCAGCGCTCCAGTTTTCTTAATTGCAATGGAGTGTTTGTGCGACTCCCTCCGCACACAATAGATGTGTCTTAGTTTGCCGTAGCTCTGAGAAATGTTGGCAGGGCTCTTTTATAAACCTTTGCTTAGTGTGACAGAAGGAGCATCCCTCTCCATACTGACGTCCTGACCTCATCAGTTTGTTCATAACTTGTTTGTGAGTGTGGCGTCTCTGTTTTGTTGTGTTTGTGTGTGATGTCGTTTTTTTCTTTTGCCTTTTTGCACATCTTGGAGAACATGTGGCCCTCAGCAGACTGAATTAATGTGCTTGTGTAGCCGTTATAAATGCTTCACAGAAATTTTGCAACAACTGCTGCCATCCTGCAGGCTCATTATAAAATAAACCATTAACAGTAACTCCATCCATTACCACCTGGCTAGAAAAAAATTAAAGGATTACTGTAACGTTATAGCTAAAATACAGTAGTCAGATCGGGTTACAAGTGTAGGTTATGCTGATATCATATAGTACATGTGTTGGCTACATTCCTACTCTTAAATACTTCTTTAGTAATGCGGATTACGGATGGTGAAGCTGAAAAAGCTGTTGCTAACTAACAAGCAAAACAACATACGAAGTTGCTGTACACAGCAGTTACTGCAACATGGTGTCACCTTTCTGCTGTTCAAATTAAAGCTGAGGGAAGGTCATGGACATTTTTTCTTTCTCTTGAAAAAAGGCTAATCAAAGTTGCACTGCCCTCTAAACAGAATAAATGGAATTCTCTGTTCAGATGAAACTTGGCTCGGTAAAGTCGCAGTGAAAAGAGATTTAAATCAGATCCTTGAGATTTGATTGGATCGCTCAAAGGTTGCCATGGTTTAGTGAGTACGGAGCAATATGGAGCTGTAGAAGGCTGTTAGCCTCCACCGATACCTCTCTCACCCAGGGATCAGGAGGAAGAACATGAGTGAGAAACTAATACATTAGAGCAAAACCCATGCTCTTTTGAAAATGTAAAGTTCCTGAAGACTGAGATCTAAGCACACAACTCTGATCAGATTCTGTAGTGACATAACATCTGGTTCTAAATGCAAAATCTCCAGTCCTTTTTACTTATGTATTGAAATATGTTCTCTTCAACTTCATCACATCCACAAGATCCTGTGCTGCATCTTGTGAAATCCCTCCATTTGTTGTGTGTGTGTGTGTGTGTGTGTGTGTGTGTGTTAATGTAAGCTCCACCCTATCTCATGTCTTTATCTGCCCACCAGAAGCAGCAGGTGAGTGCGCAGCCCTCCACAGACAGCGGTCTCTGCCCCACCGGCCACCCGTCATCCCACTAGTGGCTCGCATGGCTGACCAGAACACATCTGGCACCCCAGCCATGACTGAGAGAGAGGCGTCCCGTCTGGATAAGTTCAAGCAGTTGCTGGCTGGGCCCAACACAGATCTGGGTAAGAGATGCTCCCGTTTTCTCCATACTTGTCAGCGTCAGTCTAGTTTTGCCTCTTTCTTTTTTGTTCTCTAAGCTCTTTCACTTTTTTCATTTCCTTGCGCTCTTTTGCTTCTCACTCATAGTTTGCTCACTCTCAGTCTGCCAGCTGTGCTGCACTTTTAACGATGCTGTGAGGGAGAAAGTCATCCAGCCATCTGGACATGCAGATTACAAGGGGAAAAAATACCACCAACAACAAAAGCAAATGACAGGCCTTTGTTCTAACCAAGCGACAGGCCTTTATTGTTTATCCAACCCTAGAGACTTTGCTTGCTATCACTGCTACCCCAGTGGCCATGAAATCCTTACAGACCCCCCCTCTTTACAGTTAACTTTTTGTCCTCTAAAACTAACTTTTGGTGACTTCTACGCACCAACCTGTTGCATCAAGTTGTTTCAAGTAGATAAAACTACATCAAAGACAAGTTTGCGAATTGAGCCATTCTGAGCGTGCAATTTAAACGTCAAGATCCTGCCAGTGACTGTGTCTATAATTTACAGACGGGAAATCATGTAATTTACTTTGAATCTGTAGTGCTATGCACGTTTTCTCAAAAAACATCTGTAGATATATTCAGCACTGAAGGAGCACAGGTCAACCCTTCAGATTGGGGGAAAAAAAAGTTTGATGTATTAAAACTTCATATTTTATATAATATACATATATGTAACAAAACATATAAAATTGATGTATCTTGACAACAAACATTTAATTTAAATGAAGAAAAAACAAACTGAATATGTTTATGTAAGGTACAGACAGAGGTTAAGTACTTATTAAAGTACTGTGCCTTGTATTCTTAATCAAATTATTATTTTTGTTATAACAGTCAAGTTCCCTGTTGATGCTGTCAAAATATAGGTGGGAGACAATTTTCACCACTTTACAGTATGTCTTGATGCCACATGTTCAGACCTGAGTTCTAGGGACAGAGGATTTTGCATGCTGTGGAAAAAAAAATTGCTTCAAATTATTTGTTCCATGACCTCAGTCAGTTCTGGTAAAAGCACAGAGACCAGCGCTTAAAAAAATATAGCAGTAGTTGTGTGGATAAATGGAGGATGTATTTTCAAAGTCTCTGTTAAAAGCACTTTTGCGTTCCGGTCGCTTCTGTTTTAAGATGAAGGATGTACATCTGATGTCCTTGGGTAGTTTTTATGTGCTAATGGTGCGCTATGTGTGTTTAGTGTGTCTGATAGAAGGGTAGCATGAAGTGGGCTAGGGGACAGAATAAGGAAAGTGCGCTGCTCAGCAAAATAATGGGTTATGTTCCTGTCTAAATAACCTAAATATAATCATGTTTTATTTTGTGCTTTCTTCTTGATTTTTATTATTGCTATTTCCTGAACTGGACCTGGGTACCTCATTTCGCTCCCTTTTATGTACAACATGCTAGAATGAATGAAAACATCCTTATCCTGAAATGAAAAAAGAGAATGTTGGAGATATTTCACAGCAGAAATGACACAGTTTAAATATTACAGCCTCCATTCGCTAATAGTGACTGTGGTCTTAATTTACCACAACTGACGAGGCATTTATTTGAGACACGCTGTTATTAGAGGCAAGCCATAGATTCAGATTTTTCCTTTTTTATAAGTATACTTTACCATATTTTAGTAAGAATCTTCTCCATTTTCTCATCGGTTCTTGCTGCTGTAGTACAGAAATTTGGTGCCACTAGTGTCAATGCAAAGTCATCACTTCCTCTGTCGATTTCACTTTTAAAACCATAAAGTGTTTCAGAGGTCATAATATCTGTCCTGGAAGGCTTTTATTGTGAAAGAATGGAATTATAGCTAGACTGATACTGCATTTTTGAGGCCAATACTATGCTTTATACTTGACAGTATTGCCCGACCAACACTAGATTTTTTTTAAATACCAATATTGAAAAAAACAAACACCCGATAACAATTCATCAGTCACTGGTCTCTGCAAGTCTTGAGCACTCTTCCTGGAATGAGGTCTGGGCCTGCAGCTTTCCTGGTGTTTACCCTTCTCAGAGCTTTTTCCACTTCCAGCGCTGTGACAGTTAATGAGCAGTCACCCTTTTGAGTCCGTGCCAGTGGCTCTATAGTTGACCTAAGTGTCAGCAGCAGCAGTGCAGCCTCTGGTGTGGCTGGTGTCAAAACGTGCAAAAAAGTTGGTTAAATCCTCCACCAGAGAGGAGTTCGCTTCCACGGTGGCGCTGGCCCGCCCACTGTAGTCCGTGATCATTTTGAGACCCTGCCCTTCACTTCTACTGTCTCGTTCACCCAGCTGTGCCTCCACTCTGTCTCTGTAACGCTGCTTTTACTGCTTTTCTAAGTTTGTGGGACTCTGCTTTATTAGGTGTCGGGTCACCGGTGCTCTGCAGTGCAGGCCTTTAAGACCTCGCGTATTGATTTGTCGGCCCATGGTTTCTGATTTGGATAGATTTTTCCAGTTACCTCGGGAGCCACATCATCAGTCAATTTAGCGATATAGCACTTGACCACATGTGTTAGCTCAGTAACATCAACAGTGCTTACTTTAAACATGTCCTGGCCTGTATCCTGCAGTGCTTTCTGCAGTTCGGCCTCTGATGTGGCAGACCAACAACTCACCTTTTTTATTGCTAGACTGTTTTATATTTTGGTAACATAAGGATAGCGTCAAGATCTGCCTCACTGAAAGCTGGAAGAAAAAACGCTTTATAGGTGTCCTTGTAAGGGCTGTAACAATGATCTAAAATATTAACACAGTTCTCTATGGTTGACAGTTTAATAACCTCAATCATATTTTTAGCATTTCTGCGCTGATATTTGTTGTGATTATTAGTCGACATACCAATATCAATATCAATATATTTGCAATAAGCAAATATCAGCTGATTTATCAATCAGGCTTTCATTTGCATTTTCAAAATGTACCTGAATCTTGTCCTTCACATTGAGGGCCTCAGATTCCTCACTATATTTGTGATAACATTAAAAGAGTTTTCCTCCAATTTAGTGCTTTTAGAATATTTTTGGACTCATGATGGACAATAAATGTGAAAACCTGGCGCCTACATTACCTGCAGTGCAGCTCGACTGCTGACAGATGGAGCACAGGTTTCAGTGGGTTATGCCAGTAGAGTTAATGTAGAGCGGGCTACAGAGGATTGGTAATCTCACCTCTCTGTAACTCCCAGATGTTTTTTTCATTTTCAAACTTGTAGTCTTCAGCCCCAGCGGACTCTGACTCAAGTGACATCACTTTAGGCAGTTTATCAGGCTCCCTCTGAAGCCGCAGTGTAAAGGCTTTATACAACTTTTTTCACATATGTAGAAGTACTACTCCCCAACACCTTTTAAACAGACCTTGATGTGTAAAATCACTACAGTTCCCCTAATGATTATCACATTATCATTGCCACCATTAAAATACCTCGTCCACTGTGTTAACCTACATCCACAAATCCTCTGCTGTAAACACACCCGGCTGCTTGGTTTGCTATTTGAATAAAAGTCCAAGTTTGTATCACTTGGACCTCTTTGTCACTGCTTTACATGCCACATGTAGATTACATGTAGATTGCTGTCAGGTATACACACACACACACATACTGGGAGCATTGGCTAAGATCCTAAAATGTAAATGCTGAATTTCATTAAGCTCGAATGGCCTTAGTCAGCACAGTCCTTCACCTCTGTGTGTGTGATCCCCTTGAAAACTTTCTGAGCAAAACAAACTGGTTCACAAGTCATCAGCATTAGTCAACGGTGGTTGCGGCCTGCCCGAGCAGAGTGTATCCTGTACATCAGCAGAGTGTCTTGAGATGTCAGCCCCCATTAGGGCCCGCCAGGCATCACAAGCCGGCTGTCTAAATTTAGTTTAGTCTCTGCGCCATGATTAGATAGCCCAGAACGGGCGAGCCACGCTGCCGGCTGCTGGCAGCATGAAAGATGAACTTCATTTCACGCGGACATAATTTAAGGAAGATTGGGGTGGGTGGTGGGTGGGGTGGGGGGTGGGGGTGATGAGCGGTGATAGGGGAGGGGAGAGGGATAGGGGCAGATAAGATAAGATAAGATGAAACTTTAATGATCCCCATGGGGAAATTGGGTCATTGCAGCGGCAAAGAATGGGATATAGATGAGAATACAAAAAAAAAAAAAAATGAAATTGCCACCATGTGAAAGAATTCAAACCTTATGTAAAAAAAAATATTTCTTGGATAAAAGTAAACAATATCATTGTTTGTTTGTCGTTATGAGTCATTTGTAGACCTTGATTTATAGAGTTGGGCAGTGATATGTCTGGTTTGAAATACTGCTATAATTGTTTTCACACAGAGAGTTTTACCATTTACACATGAGCAGATCATTGCAGTTTTCAGTTAAGAGGATGATGACAAGATGGATTAAACTCCTTGTCCTCAAAGCGTAGGTCATTGTCCCCACATGTTGTCTGGGACACATTTACACTCATACAAATTCCCACATATACCAGTAGACACTGTCAGTGGGGATGATGCCCCCTTGTGTATAAGAGAAACTCGACCGACTGTCCTTGAGCTCAAAGGAAGGGGGTGGGTTGGGTGGGGGTGGGGGTGGGAGGGGGGCTGGGGATGATCCATTGGCTGGCCCCTCACTTGAATGGTGTAATTAATTGCAGAGGCAGCCATGTTTTTGGGACAAGCCCCCCGACATGTCGGGTCTGCCAGTCTCTGGAGTGTGCCAGTGTGTTTGTATGTGTCTGACTGTGTGACTTCATGTGATTTTCTAAACTCGATGGACTTAGCCCATAACTTAGCTTTATAGCTACTTCGACTTTGTGTTACAGCCCAGTTAGTCTTGTCAGGGTGTAGGCAGCATGAAGTTACACTTTTTATGCCTTAAGCGATACCAAACTTTGCTATACAGCTGTTACTCAGAAGAAAACTGCAGTGAGTTGAAGGGAATAGACAAGAGCGGGCACCATCACTTACCTTTTTTTCACTTCTTTTTTTT